AATTTACCACAATCGACTAGCCCTGGATTATCTCTTGGACTCAGAGGGAGGCGTATGTGGAAAATTTAATCTTACAAATTGCTGCCTGAAAATAAATGATAAAGGGAAAGTTATTGAAGAGATAACAGACAGGATGAAGAAGGTAGTTCATGTCCCCGTCCAAACATGGAGGGCCTGGACCACTGAGGGACAGTTTAACAATTGGCTAACAGACTCTGGAGGGTTCAAGCTATTGCAATGCAGCAGCCTTAGTTTTACTCCTTATAACATCCTTCCCTGTGTACTCCCTATGGCCCTGAAATCCAGTAACTCGATCACTGAAACCATGGTGGAAAGGAAAACTTCCTCTCATATATATGGCTTCATAAATATAAGCCACTAAGCCGAAGTCTGGAACAAATTACCCAGGAAGAAATTGAGGCTCCTTAAAATTTAAACAAAATGAAGAAGCCTCAAAGGGGAGAATGAGACAGGACACATCCAGCTTTAAGAAAATGACTCAGTTTCAAGAAAACGAAATTTAGAGAGCGGAAATTCCCCAACAGGCACTCCCCCTCCTCTTTCCCACATTTTCCCGCCATGCGCTTTTCCACTTCTGCAAACCCGCTGGCCTAATTTTTTTAAAGTAACCAATCACCCCATACCCTATATACCCTGGAAACGGAAACTTATAAAAGCCCTGCATAGCCTTTGTTAGGGGCTCAGTCTCTGGATGCAAATCCACTGAGCCAGGTGCTGGCACAATAAAGTCCTTCCCTTTTCACCATCCTTCCTGGCCTTAGCGTTTCCCTTTGCAGCTCTGGTAACACCGTCTGCTGGGGAGACAGCACGAATGGACCTGACCCCGAGACCCCTGTAGTCTGCTGGGGAGATGGTGTGTACAGGGCCGACCCCGAGACCCATGTCATCTGGTGCCAGAACAAGATGAGTCAGCAGCACAGGGTGACCCAAGTGACTTGGTGCTCAGCGAGGTCAGGGAAGGCTGCCTGGAGAAGGCAGCCCTTGAGCATACTTTGGCAGAGGAGCAGGTGTTGCAGGTGAAGAGGGCAACAGGAATGCCCTGTGCAGGGAGCAGCCTAGCCGAATTATAGGGTAGGGTCATGAGCCACGGGCTAGGGATGGGTGGAGGGCAGTGACAGTGGGGCTGGAAGCCAGGGCAGGGTGGTGGGCAGAAGCCCTTTGGCCGACCTGCTTGATGGAGGCCATGATGTCCCCCACAAGACCCAGCCCCTCACTTTGGGGGCCCTCAGCATGTACTGCACTGAGAACATCAATTGGGATGACTCTCCACAGCTGGGCAAGGAGCCCTTGGGGTGACTGGAGGGGCTGCCTCAGACTGCAAGGGCCTTTCCTAGTAGGAGACTTTGGACAGCAGGACAGGGATCGCCAGATGTCAGGCAGAAGAAACACATTTTGTCCATGTTGGGATGAATTCTCTAATGATTGGAGCCATCTAGAAGATTAGGTTGTTGTGGAAGGGATGAGTCCCTCGTCAAGGGAGGCAATCAAGCAGTTCTTTGACCAGGTGCTTCCTGGCTGGGCCATGTGGTCTCTGTGGGTGGTCCACCCTGTGATGGCTCTCTCTGAGAGCAGTGGGGTACAGCCAGCAGGGTCCTGGTGGCTGACGAGTGGACAGATGGTGCCGGGTGTCTGATAACCAGCAACAGCCCCCAGCCAGTTCCAGTGCCCCTGAAACCCACCGAAATGGGGCAAAATGGGCTTGGACTTGGGTCTTCTGAGTGGGAGAGGCCCTGGTGTTTGTCAGGGCCTTCAGGGGTGCCCGCAGCCCCAGAAGCATGAGGGACACCATGGACTGCTAGGTAGCACTGGAAAGCAGGAGAGCCATGTCGTGCCCCCTGTGAGTGGCACCACGTCCTCCATGTGGCTAGTGCCAGACCCTAACACCTGCTGCCCAGAGCCCCTGGGAGCCCACACCTTGAAGAAGACATAGTCGTCCTGCACCGTCAGGGAGCCCTGATCGATGGAGCCCGCGGACGGCGCTGCCAGCATCTTCTCGGAGCAGTTGTGGATCTGGCAGGTGATGTAGCGGAAACCTGTGGGAGGAAGAGTGGTGGTTGGGTGTCCGAGACGCCAGGTGCCCAGAATCGGGCTGAAGCAGCAGCCAGGACATGCTTCAACGCCAAGCCAGCCTGGCTTCTATGGAGCCGACACCGCAGCCCCGGCTTCTGTTGCTATTGGATTTTGAGGGGCTGCCCTGTGGTCACAGCTCCCTGGGGGCTGGTGCTGTGCCAAGCCCTCGGCTGTGGGGAGCCCCTCAGGCCTCCCCTATCAGCACTCCTATTTCACGGGTGACATAATGTCTCGAGCAGTGTCTGCAAACTACAGCCTGAGAGCCAAATGCAGTGTACTCTCAGCTATGCACAAATAAAGTTTTATTGGCATCAAAAAACCCCAAACTCACAGCCGTCAAGTCGATTCTGACTCATAGCGACTCCTCCTCGGGTTTCTGAGGCACTATCTCTATAGAAGTAGATTGCCCAACCTTCCTTCCAGGGACTGGCTAGTGGGTTTGAACCGCCAGCCTTCTGGTGAGCAGCCGAACACCTTAAGCGGTATGCCCTCAGAGCTCACAGACTGTTTATGCACTGTCTGTAGCTGCTTTGTGAGGCCCCTGGCTCCCTCGGGCATGATGCCACCAGGAGTGGGGTGGCAAGCACCTCCCCACTGGAGGGGCAAAGCCACTGAGGTGCCTGACCGCCTCTGAGATGGGGGGGACCAGAGGGTGGGGGCTGGGCAAGTCACCCTTTCAATAGACATCAATTCAGCCCCAGTGGGAGAACAAGCACATTTAAAATCACGCCACCCCGGAGGGCGGCAAGGCTAACTACAGGGTGGTCACGAAGACGGGCGACTGAACGGAGGCCAGCTGAGCCAGGGGACGGGGGAGGCGGGCCTTCTGGGCGCGGTGCCTACCTCCACCGGGATCCCGGGCTTCCATGTGGATCAGGTCCGTGTCGCTGTCCACTCCTGCCACAGCCCTGGGGGAGAGTGGGAGGTGGGTGTCAGCAGGGGCCCGCTGGTCCCTGAGAGCCCACCTCTTCCCGGGAGATGGACAGAACCCCTGCTCCTTCCTGCAGGAGCTGGGAGCCAGCACAAGTCAGGGTCACAGGCAAGAGGGCCACTGAGGAGCACCAGGAAATGCCAGGGGCTGCAGAAGTGGAGAGAAGCCCCGGTGGTGCAACGGTTAAACACTCGCCTGCCAACTGAGAGGTCACTGAGAGGTCACGGCGATCAGCTTCTGTAACGCTGTTGTCATTGTTACGTTCTGTTGAGTCGGCCCGACTCATAGTGACCCTACGTTCAACAGAACCAAATGCCACCCGGTCTTGAGCCAGCCTCACAATCCTTGCTGTCCCTGAGCCCATCTCTGCAGTCAGTGTCAGTCCACCTCGCTGAGGGCCGTCCCCTTCGCTGACCCTCCACTTTACCAAGCGTGACATCCTTCTCCAGGGACTGGTGTCTCCTGACATGACCAAAGGCCGTGAGATGGAGGCTCTCCAACCTTGGAAACCTCATGGGGCAGCTCTACTCTGTCACATGGAGTCTCTGTGAGCTGGAATCGACTTAAGGGCAACGCATTACAGCAGCTGAAATGCTGGGGTGCAGAAGCTGAAGGAGAGCGGGAAGGGTCCCCCAAAGCTGACAGAGCACAGCCCTGCTGACACCCCGAATTCAGACTCACAGCCCCAGAGTGTGAGAGAATACCTCATGTCCCCTGGGAGCCCCCACTGTGTGGTATTTTTACAGCAGCCCTCAGGGACTCAAAGAGTGACCCCTGGCCCACACCGGCCAGAGACAGAACAGTCCCTGACCCTGCAGGGGACAGGTTACAGAGGCAGGACCACGGCAACGGTGCTGATGACTGGGGTCACCCCTGACGCCCACGGCCCACAGCCCAGGGGACGTGTCCTGGCCATCATGAGGCTAGGTGGCCAGTCCAGTAGGGAGCCCTGAGAGGCAGTGGGGGGATGGAGGCCAGGCTTATGGGCCCCAAGTCCCTGCTCCACCTTCAAGGAGGCCCTTTCAGGCACCCTGACCCTGCACCCAACTCCCTGTGGCCCCGTGCCCTCTCCCGGGGGTGGGCTGGGTGTGCCTTCTGCCCACCAGAAACCGAGAACTTGGACCCTCACTTTGGGGCTGGAAGCACTGTCCCCATCCCAGGATGGCTGTGGAGTTGACCCAGAGCGCAGGCGCCCGTGTGTCCAGAGCAGGGCGGTGAGCCAACGGTATCAGCAGCCAGTCCTCAGAAGTGGTTCACCAGGCGTGGTGGTTATGCAAGTGGTTCACACATGAGTGTGAAAGTGAGTGTGTGTCAACCTGGCTGGGCCCGGCTGAGTGGCTGGGCAGCTGGTGGTAGTTATCCCCCATGATGAGACTGGCAATCACCTCTATGTTGGGACCTACTGCAAGCAGCTGAGTAGCTGTTTTGAGTATGTGGTCTGCTTCCCATATATAAGAAAGGGCTTTGGGAATGGTCTCTAGTCTATGGCACACTTGGACCCTGCATGTAGCTGTGTCATTGTTCAGCAGCCTGCCATGCTCTGCTGACCTTGGGACTTACAATGGACTTGAATTAATGGCCTGCCGTGTGGTTTGGTAACAT